GTGTATTCTATGGCCCTTCATGCCATTTCCCAAAAACTGTTGTCAGTAGAGGCCTATGTTCCCGTCCTCATACCCTTTTATGGAATTCCCTGCTCTGATACCCTTTTATGGAATTCCCCTCTCTGAGGGAGGGACTGAGCATGCTCATGCCCTTTTATGGAATTCCCTGCTCTGAGGGAGGGTCTGGGCACTCCTGCCTGAACTGGAGAATATATAAACTGGGATCTTCGGAACCTTGCCACCTCTCGTGGGATCCAGAGGAAGACTGCAGACCACTGCCTTCAACTAGACTGCAGCTCACCGCTCTCAACCAGACTGAGACCACCACCCTCAACTGGACTGCAATCACCACTTCTGACCAGACTGCAGCAGCTCTCCCACCAGCAGGTTTATCCCCTCTCCCTTTGCTTTGGACTCGGGGGTGGGCCAAGGTACACCACTCTTGTTCATACCCCAGGGTGCTGGGTTATACATTTGGGTTTTGCGGGTTAAAACCACTTGTCTGTCTGTATAATTGTACTTATTGCATTATTTTAATAAATTGTTATTCTGACTTATAAATCTCTCTTTTGAATTGAGTTCATTTTCCCTTGCTGGTTAACTTTTAAACCAGCACACCATCCCACATTGGGCTTCTCCATTAAACATCCCCAGTCTGCCTCTATCAGTAGTCATGCTTTGGCTTCATGCTGGGAGTGTGCTGGAAGAGGACACAAGCTTGCTTCTGGCTTGCTACTTCCACAGCAAGTACCCTAAACCCTAACTTAAACGCTAGTTTTAAGAGTAGGCTGGTAAATCTAGTCAACAAAGGATACCTTTTGGGAAGCCAAAAGCACAAAAAGTACAGCTGTACCACTGCCTGCTGAGCACCCACTCCTCACCTAAACAAAGCATTAGTTTCACTAAACTTTGGTGAAGTGCAGTAAGACCTTTCCTTTTGGCCACATTTCTTAAGCAGTATGTTTCCACTGAAATTGGTATAAGGCATTTTTGTTTGCAAAAACAAGCAGAAGGGACAAAATGTATTTTTGGAATGCAAGAGCCCAGAAGAGGTCTGGACCTCCTTGTGTCAAGTGCTGCAACAGCATGGAGGAAGACAGCCTGTACTTCACATGCAAAATAGATGCAAGGTTGCAGAAAATGATGAAATAAATGAAGGACTGCAGATTGCCTACAAAAGATGGCAAGTCCAATGGGGTTTCCAGAGTCCAGAGAGGCAAAGCAGATCTAGCAGAACCTATGACTCCAGAGACCAGGGCCAAGAAAAAAGTTGCTAGCAGCTACCACTGAACAATGTCCCCTTACACCTCTCTGCTCTCAGGTCTGGTTGAGCCGGACTTGTTTGTTTCCTTTCTCGGGCCAGCAAGTAATATGAGGCATCCAGAGCTTCACGGAGGAGTGAGCTGCAAGCCCCAGCCAGCATCACTGCAGGTGAAATGTCTGGCCTCAAAAGGAGTTCACCGTCCCATTCATCCCATTTTCTGAATTAACTGGGTTGTGGGACAATGACAATTACTAATGACAACTACTAATGACAACTACTCCTATTCGTAAAACACTCAGTGTGGATGGTCCACACCTTTACCCTACATAAACCGTGAGATACCTATGTGTGTTCAGTTCCTTCCCCTCAAAACTGTTTCCTTGAAACAGTTCCTCGAAAAAACTGGTGCTTCAACCAAATCCCAGCAAGCATGGGATCCTCTCCTGTGAACCTACACTGGGTGTTGGTAAATTCAGAGTCATGGATTTATTCCCATTAAGGTTTATTTGGTTTTATATATTACTATTTTATTACTTCAACTTAAGCCTGACTTGGAGTCCAGTCTTGGAGTAAACCTCATTTTGCTAGGTGTCGGACAAAGATATGGCTATGATTTTCCTTGCTTATTGCACTGGTGGTCCTGTTTTACTCCTGGAGGGCAATGTACTGGCTTATCCCCCACTTCCAGACACCATAGGCAACTGTCTTTTGGTCATACAGATGTAGCACACATATGTTATAAGCTTCAGGTGAAAGATGAATCAAGTTGCAGCATGGTAGAGAAGAGATTTAAGACCACCTTCAAAAATAGGATTCTGGGCAATTGCTGCTGCATGCACTCCTCCCGTGTCTGACAGGTTCTTAGCACAGAGACTTGAGGGACAGCACACGTCTCTTACATACAGACATTACTTACAATCAGGGAATTTTAAAGAAAACAAAAACCAAGGATCCAAACCCTTGGATGCTTAACATTGACCTAAGCAAGTACCCTTATGCAAATAATTTTTAGAAGTAGAGGAGTCAGCTTTTTTCTCTCCATCCTCTCCTCTCTAAGTCATACTCTCACATTTCCTCTAGTCAGCCAAAGGTAGGGAAGATTCATATCTTGTGTTTCAAGAAGCTGGTCTGCAAACTGCAGCCTGGGTTTCCCATGAATGAACATTCTGTTGCAGCTGAAGCCTCAGCTGCTTCTTTTCTCTCTGATTTTAAATCCCTTTCAAAATATCATCACCTGCTTTCAGTCTCTGCCAGTGGCCCATCTCCAGCTGGGCTGGTAGAAACCCACTCTGTGGCTGGGTCTGAAGAAGGGATGTATGGCCAGTAGCTGTACACTCAACTTCTTACGGCAAGGACAAAGAAAAGGGATAACCACGGCAGGAGGATCAAAATACGGCGGGGCAGGGGGAATGGGGGGCCGTGCCATACTCCCTACCTTCCCTGACGAGCCATGGGCTGGTGGGCTTACTGCAGCTGGAGCTGTGGGGAAGCCAGGTTCACTTGTAGTTCCAGCAGATCCTCACTGAGTCAGGGCTTGAAGCTTGGGCAGGTTTGCACAAAAAAGGTGGAATTCCCTGTGCTGATTGTCTGCACTCCCATTCCAGAGTGCACAACACAAAAGCACATTTTGGCTTTTCCTGTTTACCCTAGATACCTGTTTGCATACTTAAATACCTATTCACCTTGTCCCATCTGACATGCACTCAGCAACCAGGATTACACTGGCTAAGGAGGCATTGCATGGTTTAAGACCATGGCAGCCAGTACCCAGCCACACTGTGAAACTGCCCTGTGTCAGCAGTCCTGGAACCATGCAGAAACTAACATAGCTGGTACTGTCAGCCACACAGGACTAATTCTGGTAAGAGCTGAAGTAAGAGAAGCACAGGACGAAGTCTACAACATATCTACAACTACTAACTTAGTGCAATGGATGGTACCTCTCCTAATCAGTGCAGAGAGTGTCAGACCATAACTAAAATGTGTTTGTGCAGTACAAACCAGCCCAGGATGACCACAGTCTTTGAGTATCCAGTGGTACTGGTAGCCTATTTACCTACATCCCTTATCTTTGTAGCTACTGCTACCACTCCAGCTAAAACAGCACCACCAGATAGACCTGACCAGCCATCTTCTGTCCCAGAAGTGTTCTCCTGTTCAGTCATGTAGTGCTTGTATCCTGATAGCCTGCAGCTGGCAGTGAGTCCATTGCTTTGTGTACCCAATTAATCTCAACAGCTACATTACATGGTACAGATTGAAGCATCTCATGTGGTGGAGAAGTGCTCTGGGTTTATGAAAGTGCCAAGGGAATTTTCAATGGTATTTGTACAGTACAATGAGGAAGGTTGCCTCCTGTTATTTGGTGGAGGGTAATCTCTGTTGGGCTAGCAGATGATGGAAAATAATATATTCTGGGTGCAGTACAGTGCTATTGCAGTGAACTGCCTTGCCTGGGTATGTTAACTCAGGAACAGCAACACAGCAGCATTCCTGGTAGCTCTGATTCCAATGCTTGCTTTGAGCTACCTGCAGTCTTCCTGTGCCACTGATGTAGCAATGTGCTGTGTGGTCCCATTCTTGTGGCAGTACTGCTTGGAGGAGACCTCAGTCTTGCCATCCTGCTTTCCTACCTGAACAGTTACTACCTTTAGCACTTCTCATTTCTGCCTCTCAAGACTGCCCATTCACTGAATCTCTCACCTCCACTTTGAGGGGTAGTAAGACCTGTGGGCCATATAATCCTGTTTTAAAGGTACAGCAAGATCTACTTAGGAAAAAGAACTGGTCTACATAGAAATATTCAATAGGGTGAAAAATTACAAGACCCATGACCAGAGAAGCCTGTCCCTAGTTGAGCAAGGAGCTGAGTTAAAAAGCATTTGAGTGAGGTATTCCAATTGTGAAGGGCAGGAGAGAGCTCATCAGCCCCCTTCTTCTGACCCTATCCCACAGTATCTGAACAATAGATATCTATGACATTAAACTTAGAAGAAATTACAAAGGATATTGCTTTTCACACTGAATAGAGAGCCTATAGTCTTCATGAATGCAGACATTAAATGTAAAGGATGTGTGGATGGATTTTTAAAAAATGTTGGCCTGTTTAATCATCACTGGCTTTATCTAGTGCTAAGATAATCTGGGGCTGGATTTCATTCTGTAGAGTTGCAACTGATTACCTCTGGGGTACCTGTGGGACCTGTGTGGGAGAACTGCACCACTGGTTGAGTGCATCCAAATTTTTTTCTTCTTCTGAGTCTTCATAATATCTCCAGAGGTGTGAGGCCAGAGCAAATGGGATAACATCGGAATGGGAAAGCTAGAAGTCAGATCCAAAAGGGAATTTACATGTCAAGATCTTCCTTATTTGTATATCCAATATGACACTGAACTCAGAAGGAAGTCAGTATCTATATGTCTGGATAGGTCTGATCCTGTTAGCTAATGTAGCAGCTGTGAAATGCGTGTACTCTACACAGCTGAGACAGGAAGGAAAGTGATTCCTGTCATCTTTGTTCCCGGGGAACTCAAAACACCCTCTGCTATGATTTTAAAGGCACCTTAAGAATTGCTTCCAGTTGCTCCCAGTGTAATGATCTTGCAGCCAAAATCTTTACTGTCTTCTGTTAGTTGTGCCCAAGCATAATTCTGCTGCACCATGTGGCTTAAACCAATCTTGTCACTGCTGCCTGGAGAGCTGGGAAGCTGGAGGTTCAAATTTGGGCTATCTCACCCTGTGCTTGTGTTTCCTCCCTCTGGACCTCTTGACTCTCTGGATGGACTTTAGAGCAAGTCAGCTGGAAAATAACAGATGACAGAGGCATCCTCTTAGAAAGGTGGAGGGTTGCTAAAGTGCAGGAGTGGGCTGTTCCCTGCCTCTCCGTACACCTGCTGTGATGGTGGCAAGGCTGTGACCTCAGAGTCATGCTTTGTCCGGAGATCCTTCTTCCTTTTCAACTCCAGGGAGCCCATCTCGCTCCTATGCACTGCCTAAACATAACTTGCTGCAACAGCAGTACTGCAACTCTCCTGCCTTCCTTCCATTCCCAGAGACCAAAGCCCCGCAGAGGTCAACCTAAGAGAGGTTTGGAAGTTCTGTGTAGTTGCATGCAGAATCTCTGTGAATTCAGCAAGCTACAATGTGTGTCTCTGTTTCTGTGACTGTCCCAACGGCTTGCAGTTTCCTACTGCTGCTGAGGCAAAATTGATTCACACATGACCATTCTGTGCACCCAGCGCCCCTGCAGAGGGGCTGCCTGTTGAATGATTGCCTATTTCTTATTGCAGGTCACTGAAATAATAGCTTCTGGCTGCCAGTGGAGACACCTGAAAACAGTGCAGACCTGGGTATACCTGGGCATAGCTGAGCATAGGCCTGGCCTCTCACTCCTTTGCTGTTTTGCAAAGGACTCGCCTGCCCCCAGCTTTGCAGAAAAAAATAAATCACAGCTGCAACTCCAGGCGGTAGTGTTGAGGGCAGCGCTGAGCAGAGCACAGCCTCCTGAGACCCCATGTCCTGGGCAGGCAGGATCCAGCGACAGAAGCAGCTCAGAATGCCTTTGGGCATCCCTTTAATTTCATAAAGCAGAACCTATTCCCAGTCCCGCAGCAACGCTCTCAGAAGCTACATTCTCATTTTGCATTTCTGGTGGGTGCTTAGAGGAGTTGAATGTACACTGCAGCACAGGCATCTGCAGGTGAAGAAGCTGTGTCAACCCTGGTGTACAACAGCTCGGAGAAACATATGTCTCTGAGTCCCTGGCACAGACTGGAGCCTCTGAGGACAGCATGTTAGTGATCAAATAAATACTCTGGATGGCTTCAGCTGAGGGAAAGCTGTGCATCTCAGTGCTGCTGTGTGCTGGAAAGGTTTCTGGCTGTGAGGGGTGGGTGGCTACAGCAGCCAGTTCTTCAGTGTCACCAGGACAGGGGTACCCAGACCTCCCCATCCAAAACCATCACTTGTGAAAGGTGCCCTGACACCCCATTGGGACACCCACCTGCCCATTCCCCATCAGGCATTGTACTGCCAGTCCTGTGAAACATGAGATTCAAAGGCTGAAATGAGTAATTTATAACCTCAGACAGAACTGCTGGCACCTCTTTTTAAAAAGTCTGCACAATATTTTCCATTGTAAGAGCCCATTTCTAGTTGCTTCTCTTTTTGTTAAGCATATCAGCCTCAAGCTTCTGTTTTATTTAAATTTGCCTTAAATTTAAATTATTTAAACAATGTGACTGTTGCTAAAAGTGAGTGGCAAATACTTTTTAAAAAATGGATATATATACATATAGGTGTAAAATCCGAAAATTTTGTGCCATATTGGCACAATAATTATACATTTCCCATTTGCCCCTAGAGCTTTTTGCTAGAGCTAGATAATTAAGCTCTCCTTCTGGCTATGTTCTTTTAATGAAATGGTGCATGTAACACAGCTTGGCATTTATTAATGATAATGAGTTTTTAAAACAATTTGACACAGCAACTCACCTTTCACTTGTGTAGTTGTGGTGCATGTCCAGCATCATTTCCAATTTATGATGCCATGCATCTTGGGTCAGTCTCCTTTAGAAGGCAGTCTCCACCTGCAGTCAGACCATGCTGAATGAAAAGCAGGTCCAGTCTTGAACTAACTGGAGCAGATGCCAGCTTTCCCCTCCCTTTGAGGTGCTGCTGGTGTTTTATTAATTTTAGAACAAGGTCACAAGTTCATTTGCCTGTTGAATGTCAGTTAGGGTCCTCGCATCTCGTAGGCAAGTAAACACAAGCTTTCAGTATCTGACACTCTCAATATTTCTTAACACAGGGAAACAAAAATATAAACCTCAAATTTACAAGAGCCAGTCAAGGTTACATATTAATACCTCAGTTGCTTGAGATGAGATAGTTTGATAAGCACAGATCAGCTCTCTGTCACAGACAGCATGGTAGTCAAAACCGTGCTGGTGGCTGCCTGCTCTATTAAAGGGCTGTCATGCATGAGCTACTTCAACGGTCATTTTTTAAAGATTATGGTTTCCACTGCAAACTGTATTAAAGTGACTCTGATGCACAGGATACATTCTTGAGAATATCACTATGACTTGATACAAGGGGCTGCAATACAGTTTTCTTTTCCAGGGAGACAAGTTCTGGCTCAGAGATCCCTGTTTTGACTGGGATGGCACTGAAATGACTCTGGTCCCTGATCGCACCCCAGGAACTGAATGCACAGCCCTGATTAGGACTAGTTCTGGAGAACTAGAGGTATTTTGAAGGCATGTGAGGTCCATCTCCAATGACATGACAATAGTGAGGTGAAGGCACAATGAATGGGTACATCCTGCTACGTTATGGCTGTAGGGTGATGTGGCTGCACAGGTCGCCAAAGACACATCCTACCCTTCATGAGCTGCTGCCATTCCCTGCAATGCCAGGAACTATAGGGGCTTTCCCCTAGCTGCAGACTCAGATTCCTGGCTTTGTCCTGCCTCCAAGGAACAGCCAGCCAGTAGCAGCATCTTCTGCCCTCATCCTCAAAAGCATGTACGAAGGGTGCAAGACCACATGCCCAGAGGCAGCTACATGCCTGGGAATCATTGTGATCTCCTTATTGCAAACTGTGAAGGTCAAGGGGACAGTGAGACTCTTCAGGACATCCCACAACTTTGTGAGGGGCTGGGGTTGCGGCAGGTGTGGGACCCCAGCAGTCTTGCTCAGAGATGCCCTGCTTGGAAATAGGCCCTGCAGCAGCTCCCAGCACTCTGGTCTCTGGTCCCACTGGCTCATGCACCACAGGACCTCTAGCAGCAGGAGTGGAGATGGTTATTAATAAAAGAGAGGAAAACTAACCGTAATGGTTTATAAACTGCACAGGCCCAAATCTGGCTCACCCAGGGGAGTAACTCTGAACTCCTCCAAGAACTGAGGTGTTGCACCAGCTGAAGAAAAACTGAGCTTTGCACAAACACTGCTTAACTTTTACATGAGACATCAATAAGTCTAATAAGTCCCTGCATAGGGGATTTACTGTAATATGCTATATGTGCTTCATGCCTCACCTACATAAACATCCATGCTAATGTTATAAATTACAATGTTCATATTAACATATCACAGGCATCTCAACCAAGGTGAAATGCTTAATGGCTTTCAGTAAGCAACTGGGTTGCAAGAAAGGGTGGAATGAGAGAGAAGCTTCTCCAGTAACTGAGACAGACTGCATAAGTGCTATAAGCCTTACAAAGTCATTCTTAAAAAATGAAAAGAAAAAAAAATCTAAACCCACAAAGTTTTGCATACTGAAGTATTAGTGCTAGACTTCAAGGCTTCCTAATGCAAATTGGCTCTGATTTGTGAGATATGCATTACATCATAGTCTTCTTTTAGGACATTATGTCATTCCTGCTGAGACGCATTATCTCAGCTTGGCCCAGCACTAGCGATTTTTGTGGGCCTACTGCAGTGTTTCCAAAGCACTGCTGGGAACCACAGATTGAAATTTGAAACATTTATCTTTTACAAAGCTGAAAAAAAAAGAAAGATGTTAACATCAGGCAGCATTGACTTCCTTAACCCTCTCTTGACTCTACTTCTTACTGGGGTTTGGTTTTGATGTCTTTGGACACGCTGCACAAACAAGGTAACCCTTAAAATCTCACGTTGGAAGTGTTTCTTCCTACTCTCTGAGAATTGCCCTTGCAGCTGCCTGAATAACACCTCCCCGATCTTTACAAGATGTCAGATGAATCAGACTGTACCTACACTGATAAGCTATATTGCACAGACATGTCTAGAACATATATTAAGAATAAAAGGGGAAGGCGGCAAAAAGCTTTATGTGACTCATCTGTTATTAAAATTTTATATAGCATCAAGCAACCCCACTATTCTATTTTTCAGCCTGTACAGGGATAATGCACACCCATATGGGTCTTCACATCCTGATCCTTTTGAGGAAACAAAAGCAGAATTCCAGGAGGCTTATGTTACACAACAATTTTTACACAGGGAACTGAGCAGATATTATCTCTTCTGACTTCAACTATGAAATTAGAAGCCCATTTCCTCCCGCCGCATCCACGGCAGGATTACAGGCTGTGTCATGGAGGGAGCAGATAAGTGCGTTCAGGATAAAGCGAGGATATTCCCAAAACCTTGGAGAATTCCAACTCTTCTTTCCACAAAAGCACAGTTGTAAAGAAGGAGCTGTGAATGCTAAGAGAAATTAGGAAACATTTGACCATGACTAAATTACAATCTTGTTTCTTGTTATAAACTAATTGTATTCAGTGGAGGGCTTTAATTTCTCTGCTCCGTTTTTCACTTGTATGGTGTGTTTCAGTGTTTGGTGCTTAAGGCTCTCTGCTACAGCTGCAGCACATTTTCTAGAAAGATTGCAACAGCAACTGTCACAAAGGCATGATTAGAGGTATAACCAGAACTTGGGAGGCAGGACATCATTTAATCCTTCCAGAAATCTCTTTCCTACTTGAAAGCTTTTTCTTTCATTCTTTTCTTTTTGGATTGTAAAGTTGGAATAACACAGCATTAGGAAGAAGAAAAAGTCCTTGCTTGTACTTGACCCGCTGTCCCTATCTCCATATTTGCCAAGTGAATTTTCTGACCCAAGCAGTCTACTTGCACAGGGAGAAGTTTTATGGTTAGGGGTCCAAGCACTTTTAATATTTAATATTTAATGTTCCCAAAGAGATCCATGTGGCAAGTCTCCCTTCTGCTACTTTGACATTGTGACAAGGTAACACCTCATTAGCTGTAAAACTGCTACCCACAGGAGGGAAAATTCACCTTGTTTTGTTGAAGAACCATTCATGAGAGCAATGGGTTTCCAGATATTTTCACCAAATAAACACACTAATGGGCTTTTTGGC